TGTACGCGATCCTGTGTGTGTGTGAGATCATTGAGTCCGTCAGGGTAAGATCACCGAGAACGGAAGCCAGGTAGTCCCCTACATCCTCTGACGTCACAACAACCCTCATCACTATCAAAAACAATTCAAACCCGAAACACGGATGGGAAGTGACTATGAAGACGCCTGTAAGTCATATTGGGTCGTTAAGTTCATCCATGGCCGACTGAAGGACGAAAAAAGTGAAGTGACTGAGAGAGAGGAATGGTCGAAAGCAGAGCGGCCGAGAGAAAAAACAAAAACAAAAACAAATCGACTAAGAAAGGGACGATCAAGAAAGAGAGAGAAAGAAAAAAATGACCGAAGATTGGACGACCGAGAGGGAAGAACACGACCGAGAGAAAGGGACGACCGGAAGAAATACGACCATGCGAAGTGACCAGTAAAAGAACCAGAGATACAAGACCTAATAGGAATATCGACCGAAAGTAAAAACGACCCTTATCGAAGCGACCGAGAGGAGAAACGACCCATATCAAGGCAACTGACAGGAAAAACGACCGAGAAAGCGTCTCGGCAAGCACGTCGCTTCAGTGCTTCCTGTTTTGGGAGAGCGGTGCTTGTAGAGGAAGCCTTATAATTGGAGATTTTGACCTTGTGAGCCGAGACGGGGGCGCTGAGATCACCCAGGACGCCCGCGATCACACTTGCGGGTTTCGCTTCGGTCTCCAACCTGCTGCTCCCCGCGCACTTCCTCTTTTGCGGATGTACGAGTTTTCGTGGCTTATTGCTATGGTATGGAGTTGTGTTTGTTTGTTTGTTTGTGTGTGTTTGTTTGTTTGTGTGTGTCGTATACCTACCCCATCTGTTTATCTTTTCCTTAATTTTCAGGAAAAAAATATTGTATTCTCATTATTGATGTTTTCGTGGCTTATTGCTATGGTATGGAGTCGTTTTGTTTGTTTGTATGTGTGTGTTTGTTTGTGTGTATTTGTTTATGTGTCGTATACCTACCCTATCTTTTTATCTTTTCCTTAATTTTCAGGAAAAAAATATCGTATCCTCATTATTGTTACCGGTATCATTAACAGTAACCGTAATGTCAATAGTTACAAAAATAACATTGTTATTAATCGCATAAGAAAATAATTTTTTTCCCAAGAATTCAAGGAATGGATAGTCAGGGTTACACAGGACGTACTTACTGACTCTATTGTGATTAAACATTCACGGAGTCGTCTATATGTAAACAAAATTCCCAGGATAAAACTACAGTGGATCGTGTATTTACGGATTAAAAAAGTTTGGGGAATTGAACCGACGTTAATTTTAACTGTACATCTGGAATAAACGTGTATGGATATTGATTTTGTGAAAAATTGCTTTTACGTTATGAAAATGTTCTTGAATAATAATAGTAATGGTAAATATCAATGAATCCCATGACTGAGGAGTTCATTTTTAGAGCCAAGCGCAAAGTTCCATAGATTTTGCCGCCGTAGGTATTTATATGATATACTTCACAAACATTATCACCATTAATATTACGGAAATTACTGTTCATGGGTATAATCAGGCGCGTAGAAAGGAATGCCTTGTAGTTATGGTCCTCCAGAAATCCATTATTTAACTCAATAGAGCCAGAAGGGACGCACTTGACAAACAGTATGTTAAATATTACACTCTACAGAACAACCACTAGCCAAGGTATACGGAAAATTCTTCGTATATAGCATTTACGCTGTGCCGAAATAACTTGATATACTTTTCATTTCGAGACTAAAATTACATTTATCATCTGATTAACTCCCTAAATCTTTCGTAAAATAAGAGGAAACACAAGGAGAAATGAAAGCCGCTGTCGGGTTAATGGCGGGCGTGGGCCGTGAGATTTTGGAAAGAGGAAATTGATTAATGAGAGCAGGTGTCTCTCGCTCACCGGAAGACCTACCTACCTTGCGTTTACTAAGGGGGCTATAAAACGCTAATTTCTCGGGAACAAGTAATCTAGAAAGAGGTGTTTGTTTATAAAACGAATGAAAATGTAGAGCCTATAGAGCATGTATGTGTTTCAACTGTAGTCTGCAATTTTGGGATCTGATTCTCTTTATTCTCAAAAGTGCAGTAACTCTCTAAATATGTAAATACTATTTATCTAAACGCTTTTTCCGAAATCTAACTGCAAATTTTCCTCCAACTGCCCATTATATGTAAAGATATATGTAGCCTTAACCTTCAAATGATGTTCAAATGATTTTTCATTCTGATGATTATATGTACGTACCGTGAGATAAAATTCAGTTTAATTCGACGTCATAATTTTCATATTTCGAACACACGCGCGCGCATACGCGGACACGCATACGCGTACATGCACACGCACACACACACGCACACGCTCACGCACACGCACACGCACACACGCTCACGCGCACACGCACACGCACACACACACACACACAACACACACACACACACGCACACGCTCACGCACACGCACACGCGCGCACGCGCACACGCACACGCGCGCACACGCGCACGCACACACACACGCACACACACACACACACACGCACACACACACACACACACACACACACACACACACACACACACACACACACACACACACTAATTATTATTTCAATTCATTGTTATGGAGGATGCAGATGTGTTATTTTGATTCCATACATAAATGAATTGGAAAAAGAAAAGAAAATAGAATAGACATCCCTCATACCTTCTCATTTTCTATATATTAAGACTTCTATCAGAAAACGGGTATCAAGGGAAACTATATTTTTTTTTTCCAGTGCTCCAGACGGCGAATGCGCAGACATCGGTGCTCGAGGAGTTCAAAGAGCTGCACCGCCTGCAACCCAACAGCCCACTGATGGTGACGGAGTTCTGGTCCGGCTGGTTCGACCACTGGATGGAACCACACAGGAACCGCTGGCCTGAAAAAGGTTTGGGGATCAAGAGCAGTTTTGAATGATGTTATTAAAACGTATTACCAAAATGCATTCGAAAAATAAGATCTCATAATGTTTATTTACATTCGGAGTCATTCTAAAATTCGCAAGAAATACATAATACAATAATGTAAACAAGCACAAGTAACAATAACAACAACAAAATAACGTAATTGACACACCCATCCATAAAACACATAAATAAAAAACAAAGAAGATAAATCAGCAGCACAGAAAAAAATATATATGTGTGTGTGTGTATGTGTGTATGTGTATGTGTGTGTGTATGTGTGCGTGTGTGTGTGTGTGTGTGTGTGTGTGTGTGTGTGTGTGTGTGTGTATTTGTGTGTGTGTGTGTTTGTGCGTTCGTATACTCATGGTATTCTTCCTTTTTTTTTCTTAAATCCAGAGTTCTCACGCGCTCTCGAGGAAATCCTGAAGAGAGGCGCGTCTTTCGACTTCTACATGTTCTGCGGCGGCACCAATTTCGGCTTCCTCGCGGGCGCCAACGTGCAGAAGGAGTGGCCTTTCTACGCGCCGGATGTCACCAGTTACGGTAATCTGTTGTTTCGAGAAGGCATTTATAGAGTGAGTCACGGGGCGGATTTTCATGAGGTGGAGATACAGTGCTTTTTACTAGTGTACATGGAGTAAATGCATAAACTTAAGTTGCTTATTTAGAAATTAATTTTCATATTTCGAACACACGCGCGCGCATACGCGGACACGCATACGCGTACATGCACACGCACACACGCTCACGCGCACACGCACACGCACACGCACACGCACACGCACACACACACACACACACACACACACACGCACACACACACGCACACGCTCACGCACACGCACACACACACACACACACACACACACACACACATACACACACACACACACACACTAATTATTATTGCAATTCATTGTTATAGAGGATGCAGATGTGTGATTTTGATTCCATACACAAATGAATTGGAAAAAGAAAAGAAAATAGAATAGACATCCCTCATCCCTTCTCATTTTCTATATATCAAGTCTTCTGTCAGAAAACGGGTATCAAGGGAAACTATTTTTTTCCAGATTATGACTGTCTCCTCACGGAAAACGGAGACTATACTCCAAAGTACATGATCACAAAACAGTTGATCAGCCAATATCAGGCTCGTGTGCGTTCTCCTGCTCCGCCTGAAAAGTCCCCAAGAGTCGCATATGACGACATAGTTTTGAATAAAATATTAAACCTCAACGAACTCATAGGACAGGTGTGTTTGATACAGACATATATTTTCCTGCGTTTTTTCCTCTTCTTTGACTTGTGGGTTAATCCTTGGATGTTTTTCTTCCTTCTTTCTTTTAAAAAAATGTATATGTGAACATGTTTCCTTTTAAAGTCATCGTCTTAGTCTTGGTAAAAACATTCTTAGTGCTTTTCTCATAGCAAATGGTATTAGTAACGAAAGAAGAAAGTTAGTCCAAGGGGAGTATTTTTTAGAGTAGTCTTTCTCACTCCATGCAATCAAGCGACACGAAAAGATATACTGAAGGCTGCATTCTGTGTAAAACTCACGCCGTAAGTACGCCAATAGTTCATCGAGTGTATGGGGGGTAATTTTTCATAAAGTATGACGCCAAGTGCAATCACACTGTCTCAAAAACTCCAAGACACGGCGGCACTTTTGAAAACTATGGAAATGATAAAGAATAACCGCAAGGAGTGTAGGGGGGGGGGCGTGCGTTGTAAAGGAATAAAACAAACGACTACGTATAAGGGCATTGCCTTAAACTTCAAAGCTTGAAAAAAGCAGTAAAGATAAAAAAAGCATGCGCCGAGATTTTTCCATTTCATTACGCCAAGGAATATAACATACGCTAAATCCACGCCGCCACGCCAACAGGAAAACTAACTCCACGCCGGAGATCTTCGGGCCTAAGTACATGAAATGCACCCTGGCCCGAGGTACTTTAACTTTTTACTCAGTTCATATGAATTAAAAAACGCATCACGTGTCGTTGGCCTGTATAGTTATTATATTCCCTTGCCTCTAAATTACTCTGCGAGAAACTTCAAGTAAATGGAATGTTTTAGGTTAGCTTAGCTTAGGTTTATTTCCTACAATTTTCTCTGTGTTTCATGCTAAAATAGTGGTTTCAAAGGTAAGACTATGCAGTTGCAAAGTCTTGTTAGGCACGCTTAGAGGGTAATTCGGTTAACATCCTGATCATAAACATATATCCTTGGTTGTGTGGACAGAGTGATAGCTGAGGAGATATATTCACTAATCTATTTGTATATATTTTATGTGTGTTTATGGAAGACACACACACACACACACACACACGCATACATACACACACATACACACACACACACACACACACACACACACACACACACACACACACACACACACACACACACCGTATTATGAAAATCCTGTGAATTTCCCCTTTAGACTAGCACTAACGCCGAAGGTCTTTCCCTCACCCCCTCAGCTACCACACGTGAAGAGTCCAAACGTAATGGCTATGGAAGACCTCCCTATCAATGATGGCAACGGGCAGTCCTACGGATACACGCTGTACCGCACACGTATCACTGTACCCAAAGGGGGAGCCACAATAACTATCAGGGGGCACGTGAGGGACCTTGCACTTCTTCTCGTCGACCTGAAGCTTGTGTCCCCTTGCATCAACGAGCCACGTGATCTGGACGGTTTTGGTACATGGGTGAAAAGGTGAAAAGTTTTCTGTCTATGTAGGTTTATCTCAGTCTAGCTCAGCGGTTCCTGTATGGGTGGGAAAAAAGGTGACTCTCTCTGCTTTACAATTTAGGTTTGTGTATTTTTCGTCACCACGCCCCCTTTTTAGGTGTTGGTCCTTGCTTTTGTACCCCCCCCCTTCCCGTCTCATGTATTAAACCAAAATTTATTGAAATATTCTACGGGTATAAAAGTTAAAAACGAGAAAATGGTTTAGCTTATTACTGAAATCAGTAAAACGTATAAGGAGCACCCCATACAACGCAACACTTACCTATCAGAATCTAAATGGAATCAGACATTTATATTTTTTTATTATCATTCCAGGCCTGTGCCACTCTCCCTAGAATTTATCCACACCCTCAGTTTAAGAATTATCGGCCTAGATGATAAACCTCTTCTTTGTTCCTTCACATTTCGTTTGTAACACATCTTTTGCCATTCCAGAAACTCTACCTTTGAGCTCTCGAGTGAGTACAGTGGCATACATACACTAGACATTTTAGTGGAAAACATGGGTCGTGTCAACTTTGGCAAGCCTCATGACTTCACAATGAAAAAGGGACTTAGCGAGGGCCCAGTCTTACTCGGCAGTGAAGAACTCCAGGACTGGCTCATCTACCCGATAGAATTCAAGAGTGGAGACATAAACAGGTATTTGGTAGAGTAATCTGCTGGTCTTCTTACAGTCTTCTCTACATTGCTATTGGAGTCACCGAACCCAGTCTTCTTAATGTCACACTTTTGTCCTCCATTAAATTAGTCCTTTCATGCCAAGAGCAGTCACACCTTTCTGACTTACCTTCTTCCATCACTACCATAGTGGTGTAACTGGTGTATCTAAGGACATGCGCGTCCAAAGGGGCCTTGAGTGTTCTCAGGCCAACTGTCCGAACATTCGTTTATTAAAGGATTTGTTACTTTAAACGCTCCTCTATAACATAAGCACCACTATATTCACGTCAGTGTACCACAATCTCGTGATTAACATAAAAGATATCGATAATTTTTGTTATAGACGAAAGTTTAAACTAGCAAAATACACATTTTCGGCCAAGTGGTCTGAGACGTGCAGAGGTTGAACGGTGTTTTATGTTCCTCCGTGAACAGATTGTTGGGCTGGAGGTCCTACGCAGATGAAGAAGTGGTAGGCCCAGCGTTGCTTCAGGGGGACTTGGAGATTCAAAATGAGCCTGAAGACACCTTCCTGGACGCATGCGGGTGGGGAAAGGGCGCTGTGTTCGTCAACGGCTTCAATCTGGGCAGGTTCTGGACAGCTGGCCCACAGAAAACCCTGTACGTCCCTCGACCTCTTCTTGTGAAAGGACTCAATAAGGTAAGCTTGTGAATTATTCCGCCGGTACTCAAGCATGGTTCCATTACGAAAACTAAATCGTGCACTTAAGTATAAATCTTTATAGTAGATTATTGTCCTCGTACGCAATCATATAAGATCCTAAGAGCATTCTTTTCCCCCCAGATAACAGTGTGGTCGCAGTACGGAGGCCAGGGAGTGGTCAAATCCAAGGACAGCCATGACCTGGGTGCCGAAAACCCTACAGGTGTAACCCCGGGCAGTGGGGGTCCTCTCATCAATATTTGCAAGACTCATGAATAGTCGATTCTCGAGTAACCTTGCGTGCATCTTTTCTAAACTTGCATATTAGAGTAGATGTAGGTGAATACTTGAATATTTTGAGTGAATGCCATCCCTTAAGTTTCTGTTGTCAGAGTTGCATTACATTCCTCTTATATATATATATATATATATATATATATATATA